TTTTGGGTTAAAAATACAATTTTGATTTTCTTAAGTCCTCAATAGTTTTTTAATCTGTCACCTAAAGATACCTGGATGACATCTGAAAAAGCCTCAAATTTAAAATGAGCATAAACAAGCAACAGCTCAGGTAACACTGAGATGATTTGGAGGCAGTGATTTTATAAAGATCAAGAATGACAAGAAATGTGTTTGTGTTAACAGTAGAAGACTAGAGACGTCATGCACAGCAAAAAAGGCAGAAGATCAAACACAGCGACCCCTATTCCCCTATTATCCCCTAAGGATCAAAAGCCGATGATAACAGAAATCTTAGAAGGCTTTTTCTTAAACCAGTATGATAATAAAACATCTGGATGTTAACTTAATTCATCTTCATTTGATCTCCTTGTTTTATTTTTTTTAAGGGTCACAGGTATAGGGGAGCCAATCACAGCAGTCATTGGGTAAGGTGGCCACTACCTGCACAGTTTGAGACAAACAACCATTCAAACACACCTGCAAATTTTACCTACAGTCAGTTAAGAATTGACAATTTAACTTATCCCTCATCGGCATAATCTTGGATTGGACTAAACCCAAGTACCAAGAGAAAATTAACCTACACTAAAGAAAAACAGCAGGATCAAACCAGTAGATGGATAAACAAGCATGCTAACAACTTGTGCTCTTTAAAATTAACTCACCATTTTTATATTGACATAACATTTTCTGGTCTCCTTTTAACAAATTGCCACTTAGCCTATAGTATCTGCTCTGTAAACATAAATTAACCAAGGATAGCCTTGATTAATTTAGATAGTCCTTGTCAAAAAGCTCAAAAATTCATACAATTCACTTTCCATCTCTTTGTCCTTAAAAATGTCACATGGTAGACTGGAGCAACCACCAAACCACTGATCGGACCAGTTTCTGACCAATAAAGGACAAACTGTATCTACACCAAGATAACTTTTATTTTTAAGTAGTTTCTGACCAATAAAGGACAAACTGTAGATAACTTTTATTTTTAAGTGTATTTATTTTTAAGTATCATGCCCGTAAGCACTAGCTTACATTCCTGGTAGCTGATGGAAATATGAATGGTGAATTCCCAACCCATTCCCAACCATTTATTCTAGCCAAAATAAAAATAAAAATGTAATGACTGCCAAACATAATGACAACTCTCCAGTTTGTACCATTTTGTCCCACAATAGAATTGAGTGCAACACAGTGTACTGGCATCGGAGCCTCTTTAAAATTCATAAATCTGTTGCTAAAACTGTCCTTTTTTTGGATCATGGTTCTCAATGTCGGTACAATGAACAACACGTCTCAGACGATTCTCAACATGCGGTTTTAATAAAAGATATTGGTGCACAAAAAGCACTGGGTTCTGCCTTTATATCACTGAAGTAAATTCAGTGGTAACCTTTCAAATCCAAGCATCTTTGAGTGCTCATGTTAATGACAAAAAACACTAGTAATCCATTGATTAAAATAGTGTTTCTTTTGATTTACTTTTACTCTTTAATCTTAGTCACATTTTAGTCTACAGAATTGATTTTAGTATATTTATATTCAACTGGATACCATTTTTTTTTAAATTGGCCAAAATGCTCGGTAGAATTTTCATATTTCCAAAACGTCCTGAATCAGAATTTGCCTTTTCATAGCATTCGAATTGCAAACTGTTTCACTGACCATCTTTAATTGTATTTGTTTATTATTTTTAAACATGTCATTATTATATTATCAATTAATAACTTAATATCTTATTGAGATTTGTTCACATACTAATGCTTTGGTTGTTTACTCTGTGAATTTAAGGATGACCTGTCTGCAGATAAGGCTTCACATATGTCATTTTTTTCATTCCCCATGACTTATGGTGCGTCTTTGTTTTGCTAACAAAAGTACAACAGGTCTCTATATTGGATCACACCAGTCACATTTTGGTCACTTCACGTCTCGACTTGACACCACTTCATACGGTCCCCCATTAATTCTACTACCAGGCACACATTTGCTGTGATTGGATCTGCGTTTAAATGTCCTGCTTTCTTGACAACAAAGACAGCTCTGATCTGCTCTCGCCCTCATTCGTTCCTCCAGTTTACATGACCTAATCATCGCTGTTGGACTTCATCCCTGCCAGATGTTTTTATTTTGTTTTTACAAGTTGACCAACGTATCAATATATTTCATCATCATCAATTAGCCCCAATTTACTTTTAATTCAATTTTTGTTTAGTTTTCATATTAGAAAATAAGGTTGTTGATTAAGCCTTTGACCAACTATAAGCCAATGACATCACCACTGGTTTAAAGACTTCCAGTATAAATCTATAGTTTCTCAGGAGCACAATAAAATGTGGGCAAGACCTGCTGTGTAAAAAACAAAGACATCAAGGTCTAGAAAGTCTGCTTTTGTCCTGGCTTCATTAACAGGGGAAGTCTATGCTTCTCTGAGATGATACTGAATTGTCTTGCAAAGTAGCAACCTTCTTTCTGGGAGTTCACCTTTGTTCTAATGCTGCCCTAAAGACTCTCTTCTTAGCTCAGGAGTGGTGTATGAATATTTTTCAGCTATTATTTGTACGCTGTGTTTTTGGTTTAGTGTTAAACCATGGAGAACAAAAACTTTTCGAAGATCAGAGTGAGTGATGTCTTGCTACTTATCTGAATTCATTAGAATTAATTAAGTTTCATTCAAACACCCACTGCAACATCTTGAAACTACAAGGCAGGGAAACCACGTTAATCAGTCATTGTTCCTATTCTGATTCCAATTACACTTTGCAGATATTACACAAATGAGCTTCGATGGCTGCTATTTCAATTACACTTTGCAGATATTACACAAATAGACACATTACACAAATAGACATATTACACAAAAGACAGACCCCTTCAGCAACGTTTGGTCGGTGAGTGTTAACATTCTGCACCACTTCGGACTTAATCCTGTTCTCACTCAGGTAGGCTTTGTTTCATTTGATTGAATAAGAGGGTTGTGACGTGGACTTGTGGTTTAGTTCTGATGCAGCCAACCAGGATAAGCATTACAGTACTATCTCACCAGACAATTTGACGTTTTTGCATGTAGACGTATCTTTAGCAAGTAATAAATCACTCTCACTTTCACTTATTCTGTCTGTGACATACACACAATTGAGTCAAGTTTAATAAACCACTTTTAAAGGCAAGCTTACCAATTGAAGCAGACCAATGACAAGGCGAACAAACACAAATAAAGTTGACATAAATATCTACACCAGGCATCTCAAACCTAAACAAGGTTTTTTTTGCTTAAATGACCAAGTAAAGCATCAATAGTTGAAAATACTTAATTAACTGCAAATTTACCATAAAACGTCTGGTCACAGGCTAGATGTTCAAGTGCTGGAGGAGGCCTCCCAAGCCAGGAGTTTGAGACTCTGGACGAACCAGTTGATATTGATGCCTGTTGCATAAGTGATAAATAATGCTATGGATTGTTCTGGTTACGAACCAATCTAATTCAAGTCACCACAGCAATTAAAGTATGACGGTTTTGGATGACAAAAGAGTAGGATCCGAGATATGGCTAAAAGTAATGCTAGCTATATTATTTCAAATAATTATTTTGCAACAAATGTCTTTGTAAACCTTGGATGTAGTTTAGTCATGCAAAAAAGATTTACCACTTGATTTGTAAATCATAAAGATTCATAAACAAGTTGTGTTCCCATGAATATGATTTTTTTTTTAACCCAATGTAAATTTGTCAGCATTAGTTGTTCTGTCTGTGAACATACATTTTTAGAGTAACACTCAGTGTCAACAATATCAACTGGCGTCAGTCATGGTGTGTGCATGGGTATTTAACTCTTCCAATAACAGGCCCAAGAGTGTCCGATTTAACCAATCACAAATAGGCAACAATGTGAAAATTACATTAAAAGAAAAAACATTTTCACCAGCTGAGATCCAAACCTATGACCTTCTAACCATGCACCCATGTCATGGGACAATTGCCAGTCCCCACTCCAAATGTTTAACTGGGTGAGGTCTCAAGACATTGTTAGTCTAGTTGCAGACAAAATCCCGCCTCTTATGACAGCTACTGTATCAAAAGACTTTTTGACATTTCTGGTTCATGATGTTGCTGAGAATGTTGTATCTTTCCTGAAAAACATTTTTAAATATAACCTAGAAAATGATTTACTATCATCATGATGATCTTTCCACTTTACCAAAATTGGCCATTGCCTCTTTTGATTAAACCATAAACCATTAAACCATATTTGAGGGAGTAAATACAATTTCCAATGACTTGCACTTGACTTAATTTGTTCTGTGGACTCAAAACACATGACGAAAATTAGTTTGTTAATAAAACTATAATTTTAATAAGATACAAATGGAGTTGGCTGCGTGAAAATGTGATTCAATCATTTTTTCTTTTAACTTACGTTTACCCTACAGCAAAACTCCAACACTTTCCTCGCAGCTCCTGTAAAGAGTCACCTTTAACTTTTTTGCATTTAACCCACGACTTTTACAGCAAGAGCATCAACTCCTTACAGCTCCACTGCTAGTTTAACGAGGCTTGAGCAGGTTTATTTAAATCATACTTGTTGTAAAGAAACCACAAAGATGTCTGAAACTTTAAAGTCAAAACAATGCCCTTAAACACACAGAAACACTGCAAGTTACTTCAGATGCATCTTTACTCTTACAAGAGTTTGGGCTGTAAGTTAAGTTAGAAAAGCGGAAGAAAAACAACACAAGGTGAGGGGGAAAAAGAGGAGCAGTTTGACTCCTCTTCTTCACCATCATCCTCCTCTTCATCATCATCATCATCTGTAAAGCACAGGGCTGTTGGAGCTTAAGGGAAATAAAAGAAGGGAAGGAGAAGACGGAGCACGCTGTGAACATAGAGGAAAGAACCGCGACGAAACGCTGCGACTCCGCCACAAAAACATATGTATTTCATGTGGAGGATAAAGCGGCTAAAGTGTTGTCTCCCTTACCTCCAACACGGTACATGTTGGCTGCCATGGCTGGCCCCAGTGCCTGGCTTCCTCTCCAGGTAGAGGGGAGGCTCAGTGCTGGCTCTGTGTTGCCGGAGCTGTGTTAGCGCTGCCGCCGCTCTGTGTTGGAAAATGGAGGATTGATCGATACGAAACAGAGCAGCCGAGAGCTCTTAAAGAGACAGTACACCGCTAAAATAAAAGACGGAAAAATGGCGGGATTATTCAAAAATGACGTCCTTTGACTAATTAGTGGTCTTTAGTGACGTATTCATCTCACTTTTATCGTAATGTCGACAGTTTTATTTGATATCTCAAATTTTCTTTTATAAACCTTATTAACATAGCATTGTGTTTTCTTCCCTCTACTTTGTAGATTTGCAAACATGGACTGTATATACCTACAGGAATTACCGACTGTCGGTACATATGTAGCCTAAATCTGTAAAAAGTAACCTATGATGAATTTATTTTTACACATGCCCTATTAAGAGGTCTGGACCCCATTAACCCTTCAGTCCACACAACTTAAGGGGGGTGGGAAAAAAAACAGTATCAAATTATTGGTCTACAATTACTGGTGTGGTAGTGGACATTGACATGTGAAATTGTTAAGAATTGGGAACAGAAACCTGTTCTGCAAAAAAAATGAAAACCTATGGAACAGAAACCTGTTCTGCAAAAAAAAATGAAAACCACTAGAGATTCCGCAGCTCCGAAAAATTATAAATATTTTACCTTAGACCAGAAAAATAACTACACAAAGATTTTTCTTGTAAAAAGAGGGGAAAAACCAAGTTGGTGCATCGTGCAGTACCCTCTATGGCCTGCCGTCACGTGCACAAACCACACAGATAATCTAAATAAATCAATGTACCGGGAACGTGATGCAGAGAAAAATTAAGCATTCCTGTCTCATCCCATCCCATGTCAGTGCTGTGATCCTAAATCCTACTATGCACTTGTTGTTTATTGATGTCTGTGGATTGGATCCATGGCCTGGGCCTCCTGGGCTTGGTAGCAGAGTGCAGTGGCCACGGTAAAATTTAATTAATGAATGCAAGAATGGACTCTCAGTAAGGTGGCGCTAACCAGTTGAATAATAGATAAACCATGTAGATCAAGTCTAGTATTACAGTGTCCAGTGCATCATTTAGTTTAAACATGGATCATTTTTCACTTTAGTGAAACATTATTTTGAAATAATTGGCACATTTGGCACATTTCCAATGCAGTCTTTTTACACTGGACACAATAACTTTTTGGATGTCTTTTAACTATTGTTTTCTTAAATCTCAGCTAATGTTGCATATAAATATATTTAGCATTTGGCTACCTTTATTTTATGTCAAATCAGCCATATTTGTTTTTAGCAAACTCTTGGGTATTTCTGAGCTAACTTATAAACTAGTTAGCTAACTTTTAGCGTATTTGTCTTAGGTTAAGGTACCTTTTTCGTAAGCCTTTTTTGCTCAACTTTAGCTTTTCTGACTGACTACATTTTCTGTTCTCTTAGCCAATCTATAAGCTTTTTCATCTTTTGGCTAAAATTCTTAAACTAAGCTGTGGGCTTAAAACAATCAAATCGTTTAGTATTTTTCAATGAATCCTTGATTATGAAAAGCAGTGAGCTGTTTACATGAAACCGAGTCAGGTATACACACATAACAACACAGATTAATTAATTAGCCTGTTGTTGTGTTTTGCTCATATTTACATTGTTTATGCACAAATCGTTGCATGTACACCCACATTAGCGTCAGTGTGTGCAGTGCAGAGCTGAAGCACTCACTGACTAATGGTTTATTATTTCAGGATTCACAGGACACTGCCAGCATCGCAGGGAGGTCCAGGACAATCAAGCTTATTGCTGTAACCTACTTTGGTACTGTAATTGTACAGACCTGTGTGAATGTGGACACAAGGGCAGCAAGCAGAATTTCTCTTTAGTTTGGAAATCAGTGGCTCATTTTACAGCAACAAACAGTGTCAGACGCATCAGAACATTTCTTTCTTCATGTTAATGTTTACATTTCCACTGGATGCGTTCTATTAAAAGTAGGACTGGCTGATAATGTAAAAAAAATAAATAAAATACTTGTTTTTCTAACGAGAATCAGACTGACATTGAAGGTGACCAATAACTGAGATCTAATCTGACAGCTGAGGTCATTTTTAACATAGTCTTCCAGTGGAAACCGTTTGATTAGCTCTGTTTTCATTGTGGAAAGAAGAGTCTGGAAGCTGAAGGAATGCTGCGGTGAAGGCTACAACTGATCTATACCATATGGAAGCTTCAGTCACTGTGGCCTAACACTGGGGACCACGGGCTGCAGGTCACATGACTGCTATAAGCCAATCATGTGTTCTTAGCTGAGTGCACTCCAGCTTAGTGTTGGCACTGTGCTGCAGCAGAGAGAGATCCTGCGCTGTGGCTCCCGGCGTTATTATACTGTGTGTGTGTGTGTGTGTGTGTGTGTGTTACACGAAGGGGGGAATGAGAACAAAGAATGAGGTACAGAAACAGAGACAGACATAGAGAGAGAGATAATTAAAAAATTTGAAAAAGAGAGATGAAATTAAGAAAGAGATGGAGATAATTTAATGAAGGTAAGACTTAAGCAAGACGAGAGGGAGATGAGAGAGAGTGATTGAGAGACGGAGAAAAATGGGGAGATAATGGGATGAATGGAGAGATGAACGACAAAGAAGAGGAGGAAATGAGACACAATGGGGAAGAATCAGGGCCATGAGAAGGTTAGACACAATGAGATGAGAGAAATGTCAAAAGTCTATGAGAGGGGAAAAGAGAGAACATAAATATGAACGGAGATGGACAGATGAGAGAGTGTGTCCAGTAGAGTTGGTGAGAGGAGAAAAACAGCACAATATGAGAGAGACATGGAAAAAGTAAAAGGAAAGAAGGCAATCTGAAAAGAAATTTTGGGCTAGGGAAGTTAGAAAGTACAGGGCTGAGAAAATGAGAATAAAATAAAATAGAAAGAGACAGGTAGAAAGATAAACACACAGGGCTGAGAAAATGAGAATAAAATAGAAAAAGACAGGTAGAAAGATAAACACAGAGAGAGAGAGAAAGGGAGAGGGGGAGGGAGGGGGTGAGATGTGAGAAACGGAAATAGACAGCTCAAATATTACAGATTACACCACCACACAGATGTGGTGCCAATACATAATAGGATCTTAATTAGAGGAGAATGAGTGGTAAATAGTGCAGCCAGTAAATAATGCATTGGGGAAGTGTGAGGACTGCCATTAGAGCAGTTTGTTTCCTTGGCTGCTCGCTGCTGTGCAGATGTTCTTCACGCGCTCCTCTGCCAGATGTGGCTGCAGGCAGGAACGCCGACTCAGTGCAGTGCAGGTGTTCTCCCCTATGAATCCCAGAGTCTGCAGAGATGGATTAGTTTTAAAGCACAGTGTGTCTGCTGAAAAATCCCAACGGTTTGGTTGTAATCCTAGAAGATGACCTCCGATGGCCTCTTTTCATCTCCTGCCTTCTCCTTCCACCTCCCTTCCTTACCTTCCACCGTGGAAACAGATGCTGAGCAGAAATGAAGACACCACAGAAAATCAATGAGGTCGTTTTTTCCTGGAAGAAACCGGCCCAAATCTCTGACTGTCGCTCCCTGTTTGTACCCTCACTTGAGGGAAGACGTCATGTTGAGCACAGCAGGAAGCTGCTGGGAAAAAAGACTCGCTTTTCTGCATGTTACAGTTCAAACGGTTAAGTCAATAAAAGGAAAAAAAAAAAAGATTTTCAGTTGAAAAAAAACCCCACACACATGCATGAGGAAAACATGCAAACAGACTGTTATCAGGTAATTATTTGTTGTTCTTGGGCAAATATTCAGGTTTTTTGTAATACCTAACTAACTACTATTTTAGTTCATGTATGGAATCTTTTTTTTTTTGGAGAGTGAATTCATGTTTTGACTAACCTTCAAATAAATTGGCTACAATTTTGGCAAATTTATTTTTCATTTTATAATGTTATTTTCTAAGTAAATATAAAGCTATTCTGAAAGCTAACTTTTAGAAGAAAAAAAATATAGTTATAGTAAGGATATGGAAAAGAATGTTGCATTATATGTTACATTTATTTGTAGAAAACATAATATTAGATATATAATTAATATTATTTCAGTAAATTGTTTTGGCTATGTTCTATTGGATGTTACTTACTTTTATGGACTACATGTTAAATTGTTTTGGCTATGTTCTATTGGACGTTACTTACTTTTATGGACTACATGACAAACACTTTTCTAGTTTTGCTTTGGTTTTTGGCTAATTTACATTCTTTAGCTACCTAAAAAAATGTATATAATATATTCAACTGACGTTCTGCTTTGCATCAATGGTGAAACTCACAGCTAAATTGGCTTTGTTTTTATTCCGCAAACATGCAGATGTCAACTCTGTCTGTTTCCAATGAAGAAATCAAAACCCTCGACTGAGACACGTCTCTAACTCTGTTATAGACAGCTTTGATTAACTGCTGTTTTTTTTTTTTTCTTCAAACATTTGGCAAAAGTCAGTGCTGACTCTTCTAATTGGAAATCTCTGCTGTAGGGAATCTGTCGACGATTTAGCAGCTAAAAATATCAGCAGTGAAGTAAAGCTGTGTGTCAGCCTTGTTAACCTGCAGAGGGCTGATCGTTTGTGCTTGCATGACTAGAACGACAGAGGGAGCTAAAATCCAGCTTTTGACAATATTATGACTTCGGGTACAACTCCAGCCAGGTTCTTCATCTAGCATTGTTGGACTCCATAGATATGAACTTGGTACGGGTTTAAAGAAGGCAAGTTTAAATGGTGCTCTTTGCTACACTTTTGTAAAAGAATAGCGTAATATATATATTTTTTATCTTATTTTTAGTTTATGTATGTCTATGTCCAAATGCTGTGTTGTATTTCTTTAGTGGCTTGATTATTTTACCGTTTGATAAGAACACTGAGGACTGAACTACAGGACAGTTGGAAAGACGCCACAGAACATTACGAGTCACAGGATATCGCAGACAACAGGGTAGATTGGACATGTTTTAAGGTAAGGCATAAACTGTGTGTTTCTGTGCTAAAACACTAAAGATTTGTGTGGTGGTCCGTATTTTTAGGCTCCAGAACCTCCTTCCAGATGTCAGAAAGAGGAGCACACCAACGTGAAAATACAAAAATACTAATACAT